CGAAGTCCTGACAATTCAACCGATACCACCTCTTAAGCTTCGCCCACTTCTTTGGGCAAGACCTCTGCGCCTCGTACCACTCGATCTCGTTCTCAGCCTTGCACGCGCGATAGATGTTGTCCCTCGTGCGGAGACACGGCTTCAAGCACACTGTAGATCCAGGCTTGAACTCCGAGAGGAGCTTCGTCAGCCCGCAGTCAGTGCACTGCCGTCTCCCAGCCTTCACCGTGGTCGGGCGACCGTTGGCAGACTTCTTCGGGCTCCCCTTCGAGCGCTTCTTCTTCGCGCCGCCCTTCGCCCTCCCCTTGGCCTTATCCTTTCTGCCGGCCGGCTGTGCTGCGCCAGAGCCCGCCTCGTCGTCATCCTCTGCGCCCGGCGACTGCTCGCGCTGCTCGCAGTCGCCCTGGCTGGGCCCGCCCATCCCGTTGTTCAGCTCTTCGTCCGAGTCCATGGCGCCGAGACGTGCCCGGCCCAGCGCGGGGGGCAGGGAGGGCCGCGAGGGGCCAGCGACTGGCACCACTGTGGGCCATAAAGCTCGACCCTAGAGAATTGACCGCAGGCAGCCCTGATCGCAGACCCTCTGGAGGTAAGACCCAAACTCATTCCTAGCCGAATCAAGCCACTCCCTAGAACATCTGAAACGCCCCAGAGCACATGAGTCCGAGGACCCGCCCATACAGAATCCAGAACAGAAATCACCGTCCGATTTCAACGCACACGGTCATCTAGATATAAACCCGCTGAGACTAACACCCTGCTACATCGCCGAAACCAGACGCCATTTCAATGAGAGCGAGGCTGCCCCAGCCGAATGACTACTGGAGGAGGCTGGGGAGGGGTCCACAAGGAAACATCTCGAAACTACAAGTGGCCAACATAGGGGCAGTCTAAGGGCGGCCCTCCACGGGGCCGATGGCTTCATGGGACAATCCCGATGGCATGGGGAGGAGACTTACGGGTGAGGGCTTGATTTTGCTTACCCCTCTCAGCAAGATAAACTGATCAATTGTCGAATCCGCTGCTGGCGCCACGCACTGCCGCAGTCGCCCACCCCAGTCAAAGCCAGCACGCCGACGTACATCGGCGAGATCGCGCTCTCCTCAGGCTGGAGACACGGGCTCCGAATCCGTCGCCGACGTCCTCAGGATCGAGTGGGAAGTGGCGAGGACCATCATGAGGACAGCGCCGATGGCGGGCCAGGAGAAGCCGACCCCGCAGATGGAGCGCAGCTCCGCACACTGCAAGACGTCCTCACTGACGGGGGGGTACTCCGCCATGACGATGGACTTGAACGGGAAAAACTGGCCGGCGTCATTCGCGACATACTGCGGCACTGGGAAGCCTTGAATGAGGAGGTGTTCGATCGGCAGGATCTCCTTCATCGAGATGATGTCGAACAACATCGACCTCTGGAGAAGCGACGGCGCATACTTGGATACGCCGAAAAAAAGGTCATTCTGAAATAAGTTCACGATCTGGATGGGAACCTTCGCCTCCAAGCAGCGCTCGCAGTCCGCGCGCTCTAAATTCTGGTGCAACCTCACCTTCATCACCGCGTCGCCGAACGGGCCGAGGTCAAGGTGGGACTGGCTCACCGGCAAGAGGACGCGCCCCTCCCCAGCGCCGCCAGCCCCAGAGCTAGACGCGGCGGAGGACGGCGGAGCTGCCTCCCGTGGGTGCGAGTCGCCCACGTCGGTGGCCGCCTGCGACTCCTCGGTGAGGTCGAAGATCCTCCACGCCTAAAGGGGGATGAAAGCGCGAGGGCGAGCGCAGAGGCGAGGTCGAGGGGAAGGAAGAGAAGGTGAGAAGCGAGCGGGGTAAGCATGGGCAAGGGCGAAGAGCGAGGAGGAATGAGGGGGCGAAGAAGAAGGATGGGAAGAGGTGAAAAAAAAGAGGCGAAGGAGGAGGATAGGAAAGGGGGGGGAGGGCGGAGAACGGGGACAGTCGAGTTGGGAGGTAAGGGGGAATGGGTGAGGGATGTGGGAGAAAACCTTCTGCCTCCAAGACCCCATTTGCCCGCCTCCCTCCCTCGTCGGGAGGGGGCTCGAAAAAGTGAATTTACCCTGGTCACTGCTGGTGGCAATTGGCAACGAAGGATTGGGTGAAGGGTTTGCTATCTTGACGCCCCGCGCCTCCTGCCGCTTCTGAGCCCACCCCATGACGTGCGATCTGAAAGTGGCGTCATCGGAGGAGGCAGCCATGAACACCCTGGCGTCGGTGACGCAATTCCTGAAGAACATCTCCTCGAATACGTGATTCATGGTGTCCTCGCTCAGGGTGTGGATCGTGCCGGCCAAGTGGAACCACGCGTAGACGCGCTTGCGGCTGGTGGGGAATCCGAGGTCCACTGGGCTGAAGCGGTGCTGGAACAGACAATACAATCGAGTCCCCTCACCTTCATGCCAAAGCAACGGCCGGCTCAACGGGTCTTTGGGCGAGGCCATCGTCGGTTCCCAATCTGGCGGCGAATCGACCTCGCTTGCATTCAAAATCTCCTGGA